GGACTTTTTTCTTGTTCCTGTTTATATAGCACCTATCACAAATAGGACCCTAATTTATAACCTAGTTTTCTACATGCCATCACAATGAAAATAAATATAATAATGAAGTGTCATAAAGCAAGGAGAGACACAATTCAGGCAGGGTGAATCCATATTATTTTGCTTTAATTTTCATTTCAATCCTGAAGCTGGAGGGGTTGGTATAATTTGCCTTATCATAAATAAGTTTTTTTAAGTGATGTTGCTGTGCCATAGTATTGCACTTCCTGAAAACTACAGTCATTTACCAAAGCCATTCATGTGATAATCTTTTATTGTGTCACTGCATGGTGATTTCAAACACAAAAAACCTAACAACATAAAACATACCTGAATATAAAACATAGCTGTATGGTCAGTATTTGTTGAAAACACAAATACCGTGTCCATTCCACTACAGTAGAATGAAATTTTGGATGGGACCAAAGTCCTTTTCCTTGTATGGCAGTTCAATTGACTCAACTCCAGCTCAATAATTAAGAGGAGAACAATTTATCTAGCCGAGAACAATATGGGATCATTTGATGTCCACTGTTGTGGGAACTTCTTTCACAACAGACAAACTGTCTGAAATTTGCATTTATTCTATTTTATTCTTACAAATTCTTGCAATGCAAAAGTGATATCTTAATCTTTTTTTTCCACAGATAGTCCCAATATTTTTATTCTGTGCTTATCTCTTAAAGGCAGAGAATTGCATTCACTCAGGAATGAGCATCTCTGAATATAATGAACAGTATTTGAAATGAAGACTAGCAGACCATGTGTAAACACACTTAGAGTGAATGTCAATGACATGTGTTTTGTGTTTCTTAAGGGGAAAATCCCAAGATTTTCCCAAGGCAAAAAAGTTTTCTACTATAGAAATATGCTCTGTTGAGCCAAAAAGCTATCAATAATGCTTCAACAAAAAAGTCTAATTTAAACTCTTGGTTGATGATTTCTCCACCTTGAAAACAATCAAAACAGAAGTTTCCCAGGATGATGGGTGTTTCTGCATGAAATATATTACCTGTCCTGTCCACTCAGTGTATCAGAGAAGAAATTTTCTTTTTATTTTTTCTTGTCTTGCTACTTCTTCCTCTTGCTATTCACCTCACATTAGCTAACTATGCTTCTTCCAACCTTGTACAAATCTTGCAATGCTAACTCATTGCCCACAATCTGGATTTTTACTTCCACTTCTCTAAAGCCATTTATTTATAACTGCAATAGTTAAAAGCACCATCAGTAATTTCTTCAATTCTCCTCCTGAAAGGAAAATTAGTAAATTGTTTCAGTGGCTATTATTCAGAAAAGTTCATATATGTCAGTATTCCCAGTAAATTTATATTTAAGTTTGATAACTCCAAGTCACTCATCAACATTTGTTCACATATCTTAAGACAGACAAATAGGTGTTCATTAGAGTTGCAGTTTCTCTAAGTTTCTACTTAGAGAAAAGAGAGGAGAGACAAGATGAGATGAGACAAGCAAACATGAATGTAATCTAATAAAGACTTATGCTACATTTATATGAGCAAACTAAATAGTGCTAGAGTCTTTTCTTAGGCCTGGAGGACAAGTGGCATTGGCTGGACATCCACGACTAGTTCAACTCTTTAATATCCCAATATGAGACCACCACTTCCAACAAAATTAGGCAGTTTACACTTCTATTGGTAGTGGCCTCTGGGCTTGTGTTTAATACTGGATCATGCCTAGAAATTGTTTAGGAGAATATTGATTGACCCAGGTGAAAACCACACCATGAACTGCTCTAACAACTGTTTGACAAATGGCTGACTTCCAGTGCTCAGGCCTATGCTTTGGTACTGTTGAATATGGGTTTGTGAGTATATAAATACATATATACATATAACATAAATATACGCAAACATATTTATGTGTATGGCAAAAACCCCACACACTTTCAGGTGCCTGGTCCCAAAAACATTATCCAGAAGCCTTGCACAATGGTTGGCCCGTTCCAACCTGCTGTGCACATTCTTTCTTGACTTCTAAACTAAGCAAGCAGTTGTATTTCCCCTGCTGTGCATGCCAGGATTGTACCTACTTAGTTTGCATCCAAGCTTCATTAGGATCCTGTAGCTAAGCACAGAAAAGCTAAGGAGCCTGATCTCAAAGTTGTGTTTAAATAATGACTGGAGCACACCAAAATCACTAACCTTCACAAAACTGCCATGGCAAAGGCAGCTCTGGTACCTGCCTCTCCAAGAACAAAATGGAGCCATTCATTCAGCCAGGGTGTCAAAGAGTCATTGATCAGGCCTGCTAGACAGAGGCTCAAAATTAACATCTCACTTGTAAGGAGAGAACCGTATTCTTAAAGTACAAGGTAGTTTAGCATGTGTATTCTCTTGGCTTTTATTGCCTTTCTGGAGCATTTACCTCATTCCAACGCTAATTTGGGATTCTGGATTTTGGATTCTGCTCTGGAGGGGTGGAGAGGCAGAGGGCAAAGTCAGCGCCTAGGCTAGACACTAGGCATTGCAATGTGGAGGTAAGACACCTTACCTACTATTTGGCTTTGTTCACTCATTCTCTGCTCTCCATTAAAAAAAAACAAAACAAAACTGGAAAACTAGAACTAATCTTGTTTTATCCTTTCAGAGTTTGGAAGTTCTGAAACTTTAAGGGTCAAAGGACTTTGAGAAAAGAGAAACCTGTATCTCCAAATGGGCTTGATCCAAATTCCATTGATATCCCTACCTTTAGATTGATGAGATAGAGATGCATGCTTATCTGCATATTCACGATATGCTTACTACATGTCTCCCAGCAACAATATCTATACATACTTGAATGAAGAAGATCTCACAAAATCATCACTGATGGAGCAGAAGGTCAATAAAAATATCAGTCACAGACACTAAAGTTCCTGGAAGCAGAAATCCTGAGTGTAAACTATGTTCAGTGCCAGTTTACCTTTATAAAAGTTTTGCTGTTACAAAACATTTTCTCACGTTTCCTTGAGGAACTCAGTTATAGTCCATGCCATGGCAGATAGCATACTATTGCAGAGAACATCACATGGTCAGATGATTTTCAGAAATGTTACAAGCCAGGAAGAATTAAATAACCAAACCTCTATTAATATATCTAGAACAGACTTAGATTTTACTATTTGAGAATTTAGACCCCAAATCTCTAATTTCTAAATTCAAAAAGCACTAGCTTCATTTTTTTGCTCTAGTATTATCATCTAGAAGGCTCCACTCTGCGATTTTTAAAAAAAATTCCAGTTCAGTTTCATTTGCAACTTCTATTCTTAGTCTACCCTGAAATCAGTGTAGATGGAAAAAACAAGTACACACCATGGAAAAAAAGGGAAGATTAAAAAAATCACAGAGGAAAAAATGAATATAGCAATCCTTAAAATACAAACAATCAGACAAACTTGGAGCCAAAACACAAATATGACGCTATTTTAGAAAAAATACTGTGAAAATCAGTTGGAAAAAAATGAAACCATATTTGGGATAGTCATGGGCGGGAAAAAACAAAATCATATGAGATACAATGACAACATATCGAATAATCCATTTCTTTCATGTTTGTACACACACCACAATTTTATTTGTATATATGCTCACGCAAAGCTGGAAATATACAAGCCTGTATGCAGCAGATGTAATTACACCAAGCTTCATGGGGGTTGTTTGTCTCTTGGTTATTTTCTCTGATATCTGACAAGTTGTGTGAAGCTAATGCCAAAACACACTTCTCTTTAATGGACACCAAAGGAGGTTTCCTCATACATTCCACAAATTTCATGAACTAGTAATAACTTACTTGCCATTTGTAATTACACTGTCAAACTTGGCTGAATCTCAGCATAGACTTAGAATTTCGTAGTGCAGATACATGTCTAGACCTAGGGATTGTGACTGCATATACCTTGTTTCATTAGTACATATAAAAACACATAAAAATAATTTAGCACCAGGAATATATAGTCTGGAAGAATGGTTCTGCAGCAAAACTCATATGATAAATACAGAAGTTCTTCTATAATTAAACTATTTAAAATGAGGACTCAATTAAATTATCCCTTTTCAGGAGGATATTTGAGAGTTCCATCACTCCGCACACATATAAAAGATATCTATTATTTATTCTCTAACAAATTTATCATCACAGTAAACATGTAAAAGCTTTTCCCTAAAGAAAGCATTGGTAGAGCATGCTTGATCTTTGACATAATTTCTAAGGACATGACAATTGCAGACTTGAGGATTCCAACAGTTCGATTTGTATTAACCTGTTGCAATGTAATATACAAGGTAATTGTGTACCATGTCACGGCAAGAGGTAAACAGATAAAATAAATGAATGGAGATTTACATGCTTGGTAAGAATTGGGCTGGATCTGCTGTTTAGCACCTATTTTGTCTGTCCCCAGCACAGGCTTTTACTGAATTGATCAAAGAAGCAGGAAACAGGAGGGATGCTTTTGAAACTGTCTCTCAGGGTTTAGGTTGCGGCCTGTGAAAGGCTACTGGACACTGGCATTTGCATTAGTCAAAGCCAAGCTGGCTGTTGCCAGCACAACATAGCCACTGCATTGATCACTGACCAGGATAAACATCACAGCCATTTCTCACTTTGCCATCCTCTGTCTAAGCTGCTTCTGTATGAGTTGAAGAGCACACACAGGACACAGGCACAAAGGCAGGAGTTTAACAGGTGTAAGTGTCTGCATGAAGTTTGAGAAACAGTTGCCTAACTTGGGAAGAAAATGTTATTTACTGAAAAATCATTTTCAGCTGTGTAAAGACAGACATAAGTGGAATTTCTCCAACAGCTGATTTGACTTGCCTGGCTTGGACAATATTACCCTCCCTAGAATAGTTAACTCCTTAACCTACTCCAGACATAAAATTCTTTCTGCAGTGTTCTGTGGGAGTTTTCTGACATCCCTTTTGTTTCTTCTGAAATATCTGCCATCATATTCTTTCGATCTGTATAAAATGAATATAAATTAATAAGAACATTTTAGAGTGGAGATAGGTGAGAACAGGCTTCACTGTTTAACTTGACAAAGGCGTTTTAGCAAGGTTTATTTTGTAAATCAAGTTGGCACACATAAACTAAAACACAAATTGAAAAAATGTGACAGACAAAGCTTGCCAAATGACTCTTATTTTTCTTTTGCTTTGCCTGTTATTGTGTAATTATAACCATATTGCTACAGCCTACAGTGAGAGAAACATCTGGACTGTGATTTATTTTAATGTTCTTCAGTGATTCATTCATTCAATATATTTACCTCAAGTGTATGTTTCTAAGAAGATTTCATACTTCTACTTTCCCATCTACTATATACAGTTTTTCTCTTATACAGATAATCTTTCATTTTACCTTTGATTTTTTTTCTTTATTCTTCAGTTAATTGTAGGTAATTTTCAAGATGTCATTTAATACTACTTTCCTTGTAAAGGCTGTTTAATCCCTGAATATCAGCTATTAGAGCTCAAAAGGAAATCATGTCCACTTTCCTGCTTCACCTGCAAGGTGAAGCACCACCTGTACACCTGTACCACCACCTGTAACAAGAAATGAGGATTTCACATTTCTCCAATAACAGTATTTCAGGTTGAATCAGCATCTTCCATAACAAAAGAAGAAACTGTAAGTAAATTCTGAAAAGAGTAAAAAGAAATTTTTATTAAGGTGCTATTACTAATGAAAAACCTAAAGGAGTTATTAGTGCAGCTTTTTACACTTCTGAATATCTTCAAAACACTTCCTTAGTCTCCCCAAAAATGGGAGACAATAGACATGCAAACTGAGCCAAAATGGATTTTGTTATCAACTGTCATCAGAAGTAATCACATAAATAGTAAACTTGCAAAAACCATTTTTGAGCCTTTTTACAGTTTTAAAAATACAGATTGCAATCTTACACATTTAAAGCAAATGAACAAAGAAATAAAACAAACAAACAAAAGAAGGATCAAATAGTTTAGCTATGCAAATCTATAGATTCATTTTAAACACCTCAGGCACTGTGTTTAGTTATTTAAGTATGAATTTAAATTTTCAAACTCTTACCTGGTTAGTCAAGTATTTGTCTCATCAAAGGTGTCTTTATGTCACACTTTTTAGAAAGAAAGCAAAGAAGATGCTATTTTAACTGCAGCAGGGTAAGTTTAGCTTTGCTGTCTCCATTAGAGTGTAGCAGGACTGCATTTGAGCTAACACACTTAAATCCTTCATTAGAAAGAAAATTCAATGTAGGAAAAGTAGCAGAATTAAATTTAATCCTATTTTTACAGATTACATAAAAAATGAGGTATAAACCACAGCCAAGGAGAAAAGGAAAGACTATGTGGGACAAATCTAGAGCTGTTTGAAGACACTTACCTTCAAAGTTTACTCCAGTGTCTTGGCGTTTTGTGGGTACCACACAATAATGCAGTAATGGCCAAAGGCGCACATTGTTACTCTTAATTCACTGCCTCCTGAGCTTTTCCAGCCACCACTCCACACCAAGGTTATGTGTCATTCAGACCTCTAGCTCTGAAAAGCACCTTGGAAACACCTTTCTGTTCTTGCTGTCCATGTCCTTACCCTACCTGGATTCCTTACCAGGAACAGGTCCTTGCCGTACCTAGACTCCTTCCCAGGAACAAAGCAGCAAGACCTCTTACCCTGAGAAGAGAGTGAGGAGCCTCATGGGCCCAGTTTGCATTCTGAGCTAACTGCATGGGCCACCATGGACATAAACTGGAAAGGCACTCCTTGGAGTAGTGAACAAGTTCATGGGATGGTCCAAGTCAGATTTATCTGTGGCTTCTGCCCTTTTTTGCAATGAGGAGATATTGGCACACATTTTCTTCATGTGTATCATGCTGCAGTCCCTCTGGCAACACTTCTCACCTCTTTATTTTTATCCTCCTTATCAAAGACCACACCAAGTCCCGGGACTTTCTCAGCAACATCCTTTAGATCTGGTCAAAACTGCAGTCCATGGACCCTGGAGAAACAAGCTCATCAGAGACCCCATTTTTAATTCCTTGTCCTATCACATCTTTAGGAAGTGCATCCCTGGCCTTCACATCAGCCCTGTGGGCACTTTCAGGGTGTGCTGAGTGCTATTGGGGGTGTTCTGCCCTATGGTGCCCTTAGTTCCTTTTATTCTGTTGTTTTGTATATTTTTGTCCTTCGGTCCCTTTCCTTTTTTCATTTGTCATGCACTGTAATTACTAGGTTTTCTCTTTCTGTAATTCACCTTCTCTTTTTTCCTTGGTTTTATAAACCAGAGAAATATTAACATTTCCAGATGTGATCTGGTTTCTCCACAATAGAGAAGAGTGGCCATGAGGGGCGGGGGTGCTGTCCCTACACATCTCCTGTGTGGCAGTGAGATGGGATGCCTGGCTCAGCAGCACAGCTCCTATGCTGCCTTCCCCACACCATAGGAGAGGGAGATCGCAACCTGCTCTGACACCAACACCCTGCACCACCAGTGCATCATCTCTGCCGCCACCATCCCCACCACTACTGCTGACCTCCCATCCCTCTCTGCCCCAACATGTGTGGGGCTGCATCTGGGCACCACTCCCTGGTCAGTCAGGCCATCAGGAGTTCAGGGATGGGAAGAACCAACTTCTATTCCTGTGATGGGGGTGGGCAGCAACCTATGCTGTGTGCTGCTAATTTCAGTTTCCAAGTGTGCTCTAGGGAAGTCTGGGAAGAATTGTTAAAAATTACATATCATGTTTGTACACACACAAAAAAACCCCCAAACCCAAAACAAAACTCAAACCATCTCAGTACAAGATAATGAAGCTTCCAGTTAAAAGGTGCATGTTTGTCAGACAGAAAGCATTACTGATGCTGAAAGGGACTTCTGTGACAAAAATCCATATGAAATAAAGCAACTTTAGAAAATATATATATGCAACTAGTACTATTTTTTCTTCCTTAAATCTTCAGTTTGTTGGTAACAGTCATTCAGAGTTTATAGCTTCTGTAGCTGCTTCTGTTAAATGTATGAACATACATGTAAACCATCATGCAGAATTTCCACATAAGCAATAAGTACTAATTACACTGTGGAAACCAAGGCAATCTCCCTTATCCTAATTCATGCAGGCATGTTGCAAAGAATTCTAAATATTCCTAAATCTGTTCCTTAGTGGAATCAATGTCTGGCATTCCATACAGTCCCATGGCAACAGGGAATAAAAAGCAGGAAAGGCTTTAATTATCATATATTAAAATGTACTTCTAGCATTATCTGTGAAAGAGACAGAGAAGACGTGTATCAGACCAAATATGTACTGGATTATAATGGAGCCTGTGTAGTGACATCACTGTGTACAAACATACTATGTTAGATTCACTTATCTGGAGAAAACACTGCACCCAGCCAGGCCTCACCTCCTCAGCACCTCTTGGGTGCAGGATGCTGCCACCACTCCTGATCTGCCAGCATAATTACCTATAACTGATCTAGCCAAGATGACACATGTTAGGATCAGGCTACAGATTAGTGTGATGCAAACCCCTCCACACCAGTGGACCCTCTAGTTCAACTCAAGTGTCATACAAAAAAAAGTAGATGTGATTCCAACTCAAACGCCACTGACATTCAGCCAAGTTCACTCAGCAATATCTTGGGCCCCTAGGAGACTGGTCTCCGAAGTCAGTGGCTGATCTTCTGACTGGAAAATAAATGCTTTTTTTCTCAGTAACCAAAAATAAAATTGCAGAGTTTAAAGAAACAGAGTTGTTTAACTCCTAGTAAAAACCATTTCTGACATTGGTATATACTGCAGACTCCAAAATGCTAGAGGAATGTATTTATTATGAGCTTATATGATGTCAGCGCACAAACCGAAGCTGTTTTCTGGTATGTGCAATTCTAAATGCTTTCAGTGTAAACAGATTCAGCATTATTACTTCTTGAATCTTTACTGATATTAAAGGAAGGATATAAAAGTATATGGAAAGATCAAACAATGAGTGCTCCAAATCCATATAAAAAGCAAATGAATGAATCCTTAAATCACTGGCATTCTCTCACATTACATTTCACTGGGAGATGATCTCCACTACAAACAACTTCTTCCCTTTTCAAATAAGATACCACAATCATAATTTTAAGCACTGCAAATAAGGCAGAAAGAGCATTGCAGGGTTTCCTTGGCTCTTTAAGGACAAATTTTTACATACTCTTTAACTGAGTTAATCAGAGTGTTACAGGTGTTCACTTTAAGGTATGTTTTGGAAGCTATTATTTAAAAAATATAACCAATTTTCATAAGTTATGAAGTCTTTATAGACAAGTATGTTCAGTCCTGATTCAAATACAATTGAAATTTATGTCTGCTGAAGACTATCCTCAGGTGTAATCAAACAATTTACTGAATTAGCAAAAAAAAAAAAATTACAACAAGATCCTATTAAAAAAAGGATTAAAAGTTTTAAAGAAACATTACTGTAATTGTGAAGATATATCACTAAACTCAAGACTTCACATCATGCACCAATATAATGCAGTGGCTCAGTTTAAAACCCAACAAAATAAAATGGGGTAATTTCTATGGAGAGGGAATTAAATATTTTCATTTCTGACTTAAAAAAACCCTGCTTAGATAACAGAAGAAATATAATTTCATTTAATTTAAGGTTGCAATTACACTGCATGATTTTGTCTTTCAGAGGCTGAAGCAAAGTCCAACAGGCACTCAGTTGTTATAAATTCCTTAAGTACCCATTCACAGTAATTGGGAGGAAAAATTGGGGATCCAGCTCTTTGTTTCTTCCTAATTTGACCAGTACTGAAGATGAAAGTGTTACTTTCTATTTGTTTTGGTGTATTTTCTTTTTTTCCCCCTTTTCTAAAAGTTCAGAAGACAAAAAGAATAGTTTGAACAAAAGTTTAAGACTGACAATTACAACAGAACAGTTTGGTGCCTCTGAATTCCCAGAAGCTAAGCTAATTCTGGCAGT